AAATCTAGTTCATGACGCCATTACATGGTTCTACACTCATAATAAGAAAGAATACACAAAATATAAATCTTTATGGTATTATAAAACCAGAGTTGTTAAAAGATCGAATCAAAAGATCGACGATCCTGGATTCGATCGCAAATTTGTCAATTTTACGAGATTTATGATTCTGACTTAAATTGAGGATCGAGATCATTTTGTTTAAAATTAGATCCCGATCTTTTTAAAAATTTATTTTTTACTTAAAAAGCAATAAATAAAATAAAAATTTTGAAAATTAAATTAAAATATTTAAAAAAATATCTATCTTCATATTTTATCAACTTCCATTATCAACTTCCATTCCAACATTTTTATAGATATATTTATTCATTTCCTAAATTTTACGAGATTTAGAGCTCTTACAAGTTATTTAATATAAATTTATAATAATATATTAATATTTATTTTAATAGGTAAATGTAAATGTCCATTATAGATTTAGAAGATTCTATTGCTTCAACTATTGATGTAACAGCAGATATAAGTGAGAATGAGAATCTTTTACCATTTTACGTAAGTATTTTACTTTATGTGAAATGGATGAAAGCAACTCTTATAATATGATCAGCACCAAATGCCGTGTAAGAAGATAATATCATCTTCCAAAATATCATGTCTAGTAATTTGTTTACCGAGGCTATTGACATATCAATATCTTTTATTTTCATTCTTTCCATCTCGGGCTGGGATAACAATTTTGTTATTATTTCAATTTTCTCTTTATTACAACAATTATATTTTCTTTTTGGGTAGAATTGTCGGTGAGTTTATACGGTTTATTATTGTAGAATTGGCACTTATGGCAGATTGCGAAAATACTGGAATAGAAAAAGAATTATCAAATATTGATGATGAATACGTGGGATTATTTTGATTATTAAATAAAGAGGAATTTCTAAAACTATCATTGGCATTATTGGATAAAATATAATTAATATTAAACATTTTAAATTTAAAAAATTATTTTTTGTAATTAAAATTTTTTATATATTTAATTAATAAATTTTTCTTTCATTACATAAATGAGGTATTTCTATTTTTTAAACACTTCAAACTTATTTATTATACCACTTAATGGTCCTGTTTTTAATGTATTACCTAATAAAACACCAGCAACCCTGTATATAAAAGATCAAAATATATTTATTTTTCTATTTGTATTGCACATAATATAACGAAAAAATATATTTATATTATATAATAATTTGTGTAATTATCTATTAAATTAATCGTTCAAAGTAATAGATCGGATTCCCTCTTCGATATACCGTATCGTATGTGAGAGAAGGCTGTGAAATTAAGAAAAAGACTAGTAATTGCCTCGATTATATGAATTCTGTTATTTGGTTTGGGATATATAGATCAATATTGATTTTTCAAGACTCCAAATAAATTTTGGGGTTTAGTTGCGGGAAACAAGATGGAAGTATGCTATATTTTGAAAATTTTGAGTTATTATATGGGCACGATGAATGGGCGCATTATCAATAATTCAACTGCAAAATAGATGATAATTCATCCAGGTAAGTTTTGATTTTATTGCTTTAATTTCCCGACTATAATCGGGTATTTATTGAGTCCATAATTTAAAAAAAAATTATTATAAGTTTAAAATTAAAAAATAACTATTATAAGTTTTAATTTAAGTTAAATTACCGGAAGTTTATAAAAATAATAATGTTTTTCTCAATATTTTCTTTCAAGTTTTTAAAAGTATATGTGTTATTTTAATTAACTTATATTGAATCACATCATATTATTACATTTAATAATAATAATATATTATTTTTTGAATCCTGAAATTAATGATTATAAAAATTTCACATTCATTTTTGTATACTTCGCCATTCGCACTAACTGTGAAGGGGATAATAAAAAGCAAGTTTACTCTAGGCGAGGCAGAGCTCTGCAAATTCAATTTTTTTTGGCCTGAATTTCAATTTTTTTTAAAACACTATTTCAGTCACTAGCACCTTCCTTTTAGCCCTGACTGAAAATATTTTAATTTAAAAATTTAAATAAAAAGCATTTTAATTTATGTATAAAGTTAAATTTAATACTAATTGTCCTTGTCTTAATCCCAGAAAAACTCTGATTTATCCTTTATTTAGAAAAAAAAGTGATTTTTCAAATCGTAGCAAAATTCGTATGGCTGGAAATAATAGCTCGGTTAACCAACGTAATAACTCATTTTAATATATTTTTTGGTATCTTTAAACCCTAGGTGGACCGATTAAAATTTTTTTAACCCGAAGCTGAGTATCTAACACCAGAAAACACCATTGTGTTTTGCTGCTTCTTTACTTTTGGTAAATAATTTTTGTTTGAACTATTTGGAATAACATTATTCATCTGAACCCCTGGTCTAAACCACGAGTCTGGACCCTGGGTCTGAATCACTAGTCTGGACACCGGGCCTAAACCACAGGTCTAAACCACGGGTCTGGACTCCGAGTATAAACCAATCCCGGGTCTAAACAAAGGGTCTGAACCCTGGGTCTGTGCTCCGGGTTCGTGTTCAGAGCAGACCTGAGCACTGAATTTGGTCTTAAATTTTACGACCAAGCTAATAAACAACACTACTCTATGGACACCTGATTAGCAGTTGTCGTCCGTCGTGTTTTTTTTCAAATCCTGGCATATCTCTTGACTTTCCCATAAGTTACCCTTTTCATTCATCAAAATATATTGTCATAGTAAATTTTATTTCTTAAATCATTAATTTGCACGTTCTTTGCACTTATTAACATTTATTAAAGCAAACAAAACAACTAGTACTGTGATAATGTATCGAACGGTATCGGTGATACTTTTAATATTTTACATACATTTTATGCATCGATATCAGAGAAAATTGCAGAGAAAATAGATACTTTTTTCTTCTTAAATTAGAGTTAATTCTATCTTTTTTAATACAAATTTTAAAATATGTACATTAAAATATCAAATCGTTTTTTGATTAAATATTAATCCGAGTCATTGACACATAAAAACTAAAAAGAAGACAAACATTTGATGATAGCAAAAGATTTGAAAAGGTTTTTGTCTCCATAACAAAATATCCAAGACAATAAACGTAACTTCATTAAGGCATAAATATTTTTTCATTCCGCCATTTAAAATGTGTAAAATCCTTTTAAAGATTTCAGTGATAATAAGGATATTCGAAACAAAACTGAAGCTCAGATGAAAACAATTATGATCTTTAAGATAATAAGCTAAAAAAAATCAATATATGATAAGTAATCGCCACATGTTGACCCTTGCTTAAAATTTGAATGGGATTGGATCCACCCAAATAATAGAAAGAGAAAAGAAAAACTGATACAAGAGTTAGTTAAAGAACTGTCAATCTTCCCAGTTTCCCATATACATCAAGCTTCTAAAAAAGGTAGCATCTTTAGCATGAGCCTATGCTACACTATGATGAAGATTAAAAGATAAAACAAAACCCAGATAATTTTTAGCATAATAAGAGTAAAAATCTAATCATTCGAGTAAAAATCTAATCATTTCACTAATAAATAGTCATTTCTAAATTAATTGTATTAGTGATAAGGAATTTAAAAATAACATGTAAATATATATAAGATAATATTTAGAAATAAAATTTAAAATTCATATTAAAAATATTTTTTACCATATGAATCTTTAAATAATTTAAAATTGTAACGTAAAATTTCGAAGCTGATTTTTTGTTTGATCAAAAGGGCCCTTGGGATTGTTTTATGACTTTTTTGTATAATTAGTTTGATTAGAGATTTAGATTCTCCCAAATGAGCAGATTGTTGAAACCACAGGGAATAAATATATTGTTGTTGGTTAGATGTGAATAAACAGTCATTTACAAATTAAAAAACTAGTTCATTCCTTACCAATTGAAGGCGTATTGAAGTCTCTAATAATGTTTTAACTGATAGGAGGGGATGCCCCCTTTATAGAAACTTTCAATGATTTATTGGAAAGATCAAATAATAATATTTATAAAATATATATTGTATTATTTAATATAGATCTATTAATTAATGATTAATAAAAATTTCCGATACTGAAAGCATGTATCGACAATGTAATCTATCGGCTAATATATTTAGTATTTGTATCGGTTTCGATAAATTTTAAAAATATCGCTAAGAAGTCTGAATATTGTTCATCATTTTATACTATTGTTTTTAATTGAATCAAAATAATAACAAAGTTTACTAGCTTAACATTTTTGTTGAACATTTTTACTAAATCTTAATTTCAAATATATCTCATTTTTTTGGTAATTTATATTTATAAAGAATTGAAATGGTAAAATATTGTATTACTTTGAACATTTAAAATGTTGATGATTAAAAAAAATATTCTTTGGCAAATTAGTTTCTCTTTGCATTAATCAATTGCTTTCAAAAAAATATCTAGAAACAGATTCATTGATTAAGATATGGTTTATGATCGAGGTCCCAGTAATTTAATATAGCGGTGTTGAAGAAAAAAAGAAGATTCCATAAGTCTATATAAAAATAACATAAGGCATGTAGTAATAATGAAACGATCATTAGAAGCAGTGACGGAGTCTGTATTTGGAATATAATGTTAAGTTGTCTATCAAGGGCCAGCTTTAAACCTTTCTTTATTCCTAGTGGTGATGAAAATTTGGATAAAGGTGAATAGAAAACAACTCGACTTATATGGTGCCTCTATCTGATTCCTTTTATATGGAGAAGAACATGACCTAAAAGTAGGTGAACAAAAAGTAGAGAGGGTCGATTCTTCGAATACTTAGGATTGAACTTTGAGTGACGACAAATTAAATGGGAATTTATATGAAAGAATTAGTCTGAGGAAAATGGAGATTTATGGGCTGGATTCTATTAGATAAATATATAAGACTAAACCGTAGGAGCAAGATATCGTCAATAAAGAAGAAAGTGTTATGTGAGTGCCATAATATGAAGCTTAATAATATTTACCTGAGATTGCGATTCGGATAAGTCATATTGCAAGGATTTCATTTTCTTTTGAGTGTCGGTGTCGCGGTTATAGTACTCTTCGAATTTGTCCCTATAATATTGGAAATTTTTATTTGCACTTTCGACAGATTTCGTTTGGGCGTTTATCTTAATATAACAATTATAAAAAAAATATCTGAGTGAACAAAATTTGCATGATTCAGTTATGTTTTCATTATTTACTTTAATTAAAATTTGTAAAAAAGTTTATATAATAAAACAAATTATATTAAAAATGATGGTATATATATTGAACTTACAATTAGCTTTTAACTGTAAGTCTCTAATAACGTTTTGAAATAATGAAATTAATTAATCCTTAAGGATGTATTAAATATGGATTTTATTTTAATTTAGTTTGATATCCTTTAGCCTTAAATACACTTCAATTAAAAATAGTTTTCTTTTTTACCTATCTTTTGTTTTGTCTTAAATATATAAAAATTAAATAAAGTTTTTCTTTTGTTTTGAGTTAAGTATATTTAAAGTATAACATATGGTTTTTGTGTTTTCTTTTACTTCGGAATTTTTCTTCCAACAATTCATCACAGTGGTCATGGTATAACCAACATAGACAATACCAAACTCCCAAATGTTATTGACGAATAGGTCATATAAAGCGAAATTGTCTAAAACAACAAACCTATACAGTTAGAAGTACAAACACCACCTTACAACACGAACCAAACCAAGCCATAACAAATAATGTAGTACATGCTATAGAGCAGCTCGACCGATCCAGCAAATCATCAAACAATAAATTTGTTAACCATGGAAATATACACTACAAAAGACCCTTTTGCCAGTATCACATCCCTAACCATTAACAATGTTAAAACACAATAACCGAAGCATATCACACCTCCATAACTATCAATGCATTCCAATCATGGAAATCGATATTGGATCACCCATATCCATCTTAGGAAGAGATATTTATAAAAGGCATTTTAGCGACCTTCCGTTATCCATTTCCACAAAACATGTAAAATCTTACTCCGGGCATCCAATTCCTATTCTAGGTACCATAAAGACCAGGATAAAACACAACCTACAGTCTTCATTCATAACGATATTAATAACCGATATGGATAACAAGCCAATTTCAGGCAGGGATATCATAGCGATTTTCCCCTCTATCTTGTTGAATATAATCACAAAAACTAAACATGAAATACAGAGCTTCAATGATAAACAAATCAGAAAAAAACAATCCCCCGAAGAATCAAATCCCTAACTATAAATATATTTTTTTGATCAATATTTACCTTCCCCCGAATAATCAAATCACGAACATTAAATATATGCGGCTTTTTTTAAAACAATTAAACCCCCCCCCCCGTTGCCTATTTAGGGTGGGAGGAATGTGAATTAGTTTTATATTGATAGTTTAGTTATTTATTTTTTGTTTGGCATTAGGTTTTTCAGAGTTAGATTTATCTTGATAATTAGTTATTTTTTTCGGCGTTTTCGGAACTCTAAATGTTAAAAGATTTTTTTATAACTTAGTTGAGACATGGGATCTCCCCTCCCCGTTGCCTATTTAAAGTGGGAGGAGTGTTAAATATGGTATTTTATTTAGTTTGCTATCCTTTAGCCTTAAATAAACTTCAATTAAAAATAGTTTCTTATTTACCCTTCTTTTGTTTTGTCTTCAATACATAAAAATTAAATAAATTTTTCTATTTTTTTACCCTTCTTCTGTTTTGTCTTAAATACATAACATAAAAATTAAATAAAGATTTTCTTTTGTTTTGAGTTAAGTACATTTAAAGTAAAACATATGGATTTTGTGTTTTCTTATAATTAGGAGTTTTTCTTACATTTGGAGTCCCTAGTAAGGTGTTCAGGTAATATAGATATAAAGGTCCGGGAGATCGCCCTGTATCCAGAGGTATAATGAGAGTTCTGGAAAGTATAGGGGGTAGGGTTTATTTTTAATTATGTAAGATAAAACTAACACAAGTCCTTTTTGAAAAACGTTCCTTTTTTCACTCTGCGCCAATTTTATTTTAATTTATAATTGCGCGTTTTATTTTCCCTATAAAAGGGACAAATTTTTATACCTAAAGATATACTTTTATTTTAGTTTAAAAATATAATCTTCGAATAAAGATACTTTTTGGATTAAATAAATTATGATATACTTTCTTTTGGAAAATAATTTTGAAGGATAAATTTTAATGTTTAAATATTTTTGATGTATAAAACTTTTTATATTTGATTAAGATTAATAAAATTTAAAGTAAAGTTTACGAGTAATTTATTTATAATAACTTAAATGCCACTTACGAGATCCCAGCAAGACGAACTCCTTACCAGTCTAACCTTAACTGAAGCACCGTCACTTCAGGATGTAACTAGTTACTTTTCAAAAGTAACTTTTAAACAACACTATAAATTTGTCCTTGTAAAAAAGAAAATGTTTTATGGCAGGCAAAATATAATTTAATCCTTTATTTAATTTTTCGATCAATTTTAATATCGCACTATTCAGTTATAATATAGAAGGAATATCCAGGCCTGTTCCAATAAAGATGCGTAATATTCCTACAAAAACCCCAATAATTAAGTTAAGTTGTAAAATAGGAAAAATCCATATTTATGAATTTTATAATTAATTTTTGAAAATATTTATAAAAGCTGGCAATCAAGATATTTGATAAAATTTTTAAGGAATTATAAGTGAGTTAAAAAGTTACTAAATTACAAGACGCCAAATATTAAAACAAAAATTTCAGTGAATAAAGAGTATAGGAATACCTGGGACTGAAGTTCAACTAGCTGGGCCTTTAGATCACCCGACTCCGACAGAAAGTTAGTCTCGTTTAGCTTTAGGTTTACCAGGTAATCGATCAACTGCTTCAGAACTTTCTTGTCTTTCCTGCAAAGGTCCGTGTGGAGAACGGTGAGGTCTAGCGAAGTATAAACGCCGTTGTGAGTTAGCGGAGGTTCCGCTATACTCGAGTTATGTAAAAGGGAAGAGGTGAGTAGGTCGGAAGGCGGCAAAAGAGGGGGAGAGGAGTGGAGCGGTAAAGCGGAAGGGGGGGTTTGGTTAAGGGATGTCGTCCAAGCTACATATTGCTAAAATAAATGAGACGTTTAAAATATAAAATGAGTTAGTTGAAAAAGAAAAATAAAGATGGGTTGAAGTTAGTTTGTAGGGAAGGATTATAGAGTAAAATTAATTCAAGATTCAGTAGATAATTAAATATACATATGTTTTTTTTACTCACTTCCCATTGTGTGGCGAATTCCTGAATTTTTTGTCGGAGAGATTTAACATGTGACTCGATTTCCTTGAGTTTAAGAAAATCCAGTTCTTGTTGCCCACCTTGCCTGAAGCTATCATTCGACATTTTTAGGGTTCGATATTCCTGTATAGTGATTTCAATGAAAAAATTTTAAAGTACGCTTGGCAAATTCATGTCTTAAGGTAAACCTTATATTCTCCCTCTAGACAAAATAAAAGAAAAAGAGGGTTGCCGGCCTCATAAAAAATTAGAAGAAAGGTGGGATATAGGAGAAAAAAAAGGAAAAATATTTTTACGTGTTCCAATCGATCGTATTTCTTATTGTAATCGTCTAAACCGGACAAGCATTCAGCCTCCCGGTACTTGACGGCCAGTAGTTCTTGCTGGAGAGTATTGACTACTTCTTCGTATTTTTTTTGGTCAACTCGAGAAGGTTCTTCGTTCTGAATTTGTATCATTCATTAAAATACCGAAGAAAAATAAAGTATTGGTTCAAAAGTTGATGTTAAATCAAAATATTTAGGTTGAAATTGTAGGGAAAGCAGCAATACCACGGTTTTAACAGCTGATAGTATATATAAAATCTTTGATTAATTTATATATATCAATAATTCATAAGATTGTTATCACGACTGAAATTAATGACAAATAAAAAAAAAATATTTTATTAAAAAAATTTTATAAACTCAACCGGCTGTTAAATCGCGTCTACTATCAATTACCGTCTTAGGCTGATAATGGCGTATCCTTTAAAGCGATTTCTAACAAATTTAAAGCAGTCACAAGTTATGTTTAAAAACATGATAGAAAATATAAAAAATTTTAAAAAAAAACACAATATAGATTAAAGATCAAAATGGCCCGGTTCGTCCCGCTCTTATTTCGATCCGAAAAAAATATTTCACATAAGATTCTTAGCCATGGCTCGGCTAGGACCACGGATCGGGTAGGGTAGATATTTGATATAGGTTACGTGCTTTTCAAATGAGACAAACATTTTAAGCTTTTAAATACGAAAATTATTTCTTTATAAGACGAGAAAATCAAAATATTAAATATACCGAAAGGTGGTTAAATTGAAATTTTAATAAGCAGCATTATTAAATATGTTTGTTTTGTTTACATAATAAAAAAAACATTATCGAAAAGTGATCATTAAAATTATGCGTAAAATTGGTGTGGGTAAATATCCCGATACTGAATTTATAAATTTACAAAAAACCTATCTAATTTGGGTACAGTTGGAAAAATGCATTCTGTCAAACTTAGATATTTCCCCAATTTATAAAGCCTTCTAAATACATAAAAGTGAATAGATTAAGATATAATTGGGACTCAAATTTTTTGGCCAAATTAGGGAGTTACCTGAATTATTAAGAGTCCAAATTAGGCAAGTTTTACTCTATTTAGTTAAAATTCAGTTTGACTCTAAGCCCGGCTCAAAATTTTTATTAATCATTTCTATACTATCTAGAATTTTTATATTCATCTACTACGCTGCTTTTATAGTAAGAGATATTTCCTTAAGCGATGCTAATTTACAAAAGCAAGTCAATACGGAACGAAATGATTCGCAACAGCTATTAGCGTTTTTCAAAAAGCATAATAGCTGTGATTTCGCTAGCTCTTAATTTCGCATAGCTTGAACAAATCATGCTTACTATAAATGCAGCGTTATAGATAAGAAGTTCCAAAATATTCATAGATTATTTCTTCTTTTACGCCGCAGCAGCTGTTGCAAATAAACGGGAAGATTCCTCGGTCGATTTTTTAAACTAAAAAAATGAGATGTTCACTCTAGATCCCGAAAAAAGCATATTTTTCTTTTTTCTCCATTAAATAAAAGAAAGGAGGGGAGGGGACAAGCTTAACAATAAATAAATCAAAAATAAACGGAGTTTTACCCCGTTTTCCAGCTCCTTGATCCAGCTAATCTGGTTTAAAGCCATTCGGAGGCTCTCGTCCTTGTCGTCCAGAACTTTTCTTAACTCGTTGAAGTCCTGTTTCAAGGAAAAATTTTCCTCGGCCTGCACGGCCCGGGAGACCTGACCCTGTATGAGTTTATCGGCCAATGAGGCGCTCTCCTATTTCGGAATAAATTAACATATTTTCAGCCTGGAAAGAATGGGGGGGGGGGCGGAGTTAATTATTCAACTATCCAATTCGATGCAATTCGAAATTTTTTTATCATTCTATTATTTATATTCTATTTTTATTTATCAAACGTTTGACTTGAGCCTCTATTTTTTTTGTCCTAACTTCTTGGGCAACCTCTTCTACCCTAAAGCTGGTGGGATTGGAGTATTCTTTATATACCTGTTCCAAGTACTGGATCCTCTGCTTGAGTAGCCTGTTCTCCTGTTTGAGTTTGCGGATCTGACCCAGCTCCTCCTGCTGTTTGACCTTGATGCCAGTGAACTCTTTCTCCATACGCTTCATCTTGCGTTCATTGAATGGAACCAATCCGAAGGCCACGTGGAAAAGTAGATCCGGGTCTTTACCGAGTCGACTGGGAATGTCTCTTTGAAAATACTTTTGAAATAAATTCGAAATAATAAATATTATAATGCATGTAATGTAGAAAAGTGGAAAGGGTAACTGCCATACCCGAGTAAACCCAGGAAAATGGTCATTTACCGAACAACAAAGATATATAATAAATCTTAAGGTGAATTGATTGAGCAATCGAGTAGCCAGAAAGCAGGAATACATTCTCTGAGGCCAATAACCGTGCTTATATTAAAGGGTGGGTGAGAGGAGTTGAGATGTGCCCGTCATTAGCATTGATCTTCAATTAGGATTTTTTTATCTGCAGAATTTGTTGAGGGATTAAAGAGTAAGATAAAGTTAGACCGGAAAATCATATGAGGTTGGGAGATATATATATTTAATATTTAAAAAAGGTTCTGTCAATGGGGAATATAAATGGGTGAAAACATGCCACCAAAAAGCCTGCCAGACACATAAATTTACAATTAGCGCGCCTATAATATTATGCAATCTAGCAAAAAAAAGTCTTCGAGAACTTCCTAAATGATAAGAGTTTTAGCAAAAGTCTATTTTTACCTAAAGTGATCGCTATGTGATATAACATGATTTTGGGTATTTTCTTTCTAAAATGACATTAAGATCTCAAAAATATTATTTTTCTTTCTAAAATTTAAATTTTGCGATTAAATATATAAACTATATTAAATCGCGGTTTTAGATAAATTTTTAAGTTAAATATAAAAACTTAAATTTATTCATTAATTCACACCTTCGATTACCTTTAAAAATAATTTTTTTAAATACATTTTAGCCCTTAGTGTCAATTTCTTAAAAAAACAAATTAGAAATAAACCAGAGTCTTTACCTGCAGCATTCCTTCCATATCCAGGACAAGTAAATCCTCTTTGCTCAAGAATAACAGGGCCGCTGCTACTTTGAAAATCAAGTCTATACCCTATGTCGCACGTATTTGGGTTTGTAAGTTTGAAATGTATATTATATAAAACAAAGTGGTTCAATAAATTATTCAGGGCTATGCTTCGTTGCACTAGACTTTAGATTTTTTAAAATATTTAAATTATTTATAGTGCCCTGATTTTGCGGAAATCGTATTGGAGCATATATCGCCTCCATGAATTTCCGACCATTTTGTCGTGAACTTTTGAAATACTCTTAATTTTGATATATACCTACCATGATTTTTTTCTTCCAAAATTTTTAATAAAAATTTATTGAAGATCTGAAGATTAAAAAAAATTTTAAATTTGTAATTTCATCATTGAAATTTTTTTTATGTATATAAATTAAAGAACTGTCTGAGTGGGCCTAAATATCATTAAACCTGGCCCGAAAAGCCGTGCCCAATTTTTTTTAAATAGGCCAGGCCCAGACAAAATCCAATTCAGATTCCAAGGGATGGTCGGGCCGGGTTTGTAGATCTCCAATATAAATCATAGAAGATTTTTTTTAACCAGAAGTATTTGAACTTTTAGGTAAATTTTTATCAACCTTGTTTGAACCATCTCCTAAAAATCTTCATTCAATAAAATTAAGATTTTTTATTTTGAAAAGAATTTCAAACTTTGCAATTTTCATGTATATTTTTAAAAAAAATATACAAAATTTCATGGCAAAAAAAATGATTCTAGCAAAATCGGCCTTTAAAAATTTTACAAAAAGATTATTGTAAACTGATTGAAGTTTTTTTTTAAAATATGTTATTACCCAGAATTCGCTAAATCCTAACATAAATCAGGGACGTGGAAAGGAACTTTGAGTAAATTTATGGAAAGGGAACGGAAGGTGTATTCCGGAACCTTCTTAAAAATAAATATAAATTTCTTATTTGTTTCTATAATTAAAAAAATAAAAAGTTTTAATCCATCTAACAGTTGCATATATTAAGTTCGTTTTATTTTCTTTTATAATTTTTTTTAATAATAATAAATAATCATTAATCATATTAAACTATACAATACAAAGTAATAATAATTAGCAAACAGTAATAGATAAAAAAATTAAAAAGAGGGGAAACATTTTTATCAATTTAAAAATTTATTTAACTGTTTTTCCCATAAAATTAATTTTTTTCTTATTAAATAAAATTTTAAATGGACAATATTATTTTTGATAATAATAAAAAATCATCCTTTGAACGTTGTTTTTCGACACTCAAATTTATATTTATATCATAAAGAACCAATTTAAATATAATATTGCTTCGATGTAATAATTGATTAATTTAATGATTAAATAAAGATTACCTAAAATGTGTGGATTTTTTCTTGGAACATTCCGAAAGCGGGAACGGAACATTTTTTTTGACCGGAACAGGATGTAAAAATGCACTTGTTCCGGATTCCTGATATAAATAGATTGCTTGGCTAACTCTTATTTATCTTTTTTATATTTTACTTCGAGCAAAAATACGTCCATTATCCTGAATGCCGTCTCGAGCGGCAATGATGAACTAAACAACGTTAGGAACCAAGGGGAAGCGTATAAAGAGGCGTGAAAATTGTTATCTTGAAAATGTTTGAACAGGTCAGGCGTGAATTCCTATAACGCGCGGCGAAGGATAAAATTTTTTTTTGGCCATTATATTAAATTTATATTGCCGCCTATAACAACTCATTAATTTTTTAGCCCTTTAGACATTAAAAAAAGTTTTAAAATTCTAATCACATTTTTTTCCTTTTTTGAATCAGCTGATGTTAAAAAGTGTAGCTTCCCAGCAGCCTTAAAAAAGGCATAAATTTACATTACTATGTTAAAGCTGCGATTAAAATGTTATCTAGTACTAGCCACTTAAATACCTATTTGACACTTATAAATAACGCACGTTTTTTTAAAAAAGGTTAGCCAATACCATTAATCTAAGCTAAAATTGACTTTCTATTTATAATGGATGAGCCTATTTAGTACTTATCCCTGCCTCCTGTTATTATTTTTGTAACATATAAAACTTGAATCAAGCACTCGAGTTGATACATGCATAGAGCAAGCTCGGACATAGATGGTTTGAACAGTTTCCTAAGATTGTATTTGTGCATAATTTTGGTAAGCACCGAAAAGGCTTCCTCTTCTGGCATCTTCATTTTTTTTGTTTTTACCGAAAAAATTTTTTTTATAATAATATTTGGCAGGGATAGTAGGTGAGGTAAAGAATATATTTTTGGGCTTTTTTGAAAATAAAAACCTCTAAAGAGACCATCTTGCCCCTCATTCATATCGGTCGCGAATTAGCGCTAACTGTGAATGAGGGAGATAGATTTTTCCCCGCAGAGTTTCAAAAGATAATCTTTAAATATACATTCGTTTTTAAAAATTATTAACAATTTATACACATTACCGCAGATATACTGTTAATTAATTGAATTATATGGCTTGATACTCTTTTTTAAAAAATTAATAAATCCATTAGGAATAAAACAAAAACGATAAAATGTTTCTCCTTCCCACCTTGTCAAAAATGTATCTAACAAAATCAAATAAATTTTTTTAGAAATGAGTAAGATGTATATTTATATGGTAACCTGCATTAGAAGCAATCCCACGATGAAGCAGCTACCCTGGCAATAACCCACCTCAGGATCGTGCAACGAGTAAGCCTTGAAAATTAATGTTTAAAAATAATAACGGTTGTGCAGTATAGTTTACTCCGGGTAATGCAACTGGATCCGTAACTAGAACTCAGTTTAGCATTTATAATTTAATTCGCCAAAAAAAAAATTTTTTTTAAATTATATTCTGCTTTGATTTCATTAAAACACATTATTCATTTTTTTTAAATAATTTTTACAGGAGAGCACTTTTTAAAAAAATAATTTATTGTATTTTAGATATGAAATTATTACACTATAATAATGGGAAAAAAATTATTCAAAATTATATTTTAATATTTTTATTGTTGATACGGAAGAATAAAGTGCTGAGGCTGTGTTCTAGGTCGGCTTAATACTTAATAGCCGGCTACAAAGTAAGAAGAAATTCAGATTTTAAGCATGCCACTCTTAATTTTCTAAATAACAATTGTACATATCAGTTTAAATTATATTTAAAGCAAACATGAAAATATACCGTAGAGAAGAGCAAACATGAAAATATACAGTAGAGAAGAGCAAACATGAAAATATACCGTAGAGTAATAGCCAGTCTTTCTTGATTGCATATTGTATATCTTTATATGTTGCATATGCAATCATAGAGAATATAATCAAAGATTGCAATATTCGTCCTCATATATTTATAGAGTTGGATGTCATTTAATAATTCAATAAATGAATTTAAACCATCCTTTATCATGGCGATTCAAATATATTTTATTTATTTGAGATCTTTCTTGTGAATTAGCATAGGCTGCTAGAGCATAGATTAGCAGTAACAGTTCAATGAAAATTATTTCCTCTATTTTGAGTTGTAAAAAAATGCGTCACTGAGAGAAAAATAAGAGTATTAGTTATTATAAACAAAAATAAAATAATTTACAAAAATTAAGTAGTAAAGAGGTATAATATTTATAATGTAAACTTAAAATGTACAATTTTTTTAATATTTGGCAACGCTCAATTTTTGCTTCAAACTTTTTTTTACAAAATTATATTTCCAATAAATCTAACTAACATTATCAACATTAATTAAATTTTAAAATACTACAGTTCTCGTATTGTTATAAAATTTTGAATCAAATTTTATTTTTTAAAAAAAAGTGAAAAAATTTTACTATGCAAGATATGAACCCTAAACCTAGGATTGCTAGACAGACATTAACAGAACTGGAGTAGGTGAGCTTTTAAAACAAAATGTTTTTAATTTGAATATATTATAAGTTAATCAAATGAGACCGGTTGCTAATCTACTTATTATATCATTATTATATCTATATGCTTATATATTAAAATAAACAAAATTAGGTTTATTTGTGCATAGAAATTAAATTTATTACAAAATATATATTACATATTGCATATATTTTACATTACTAATCAGAATAACATCTTTATTCTATAATTATGTTATTTTACTATTCAATTTTCTCTCTATTTAGATTTAAATTCTTTTTATGGCTTTTAAAGTATATTTATTTAAAAGACGAACTTGTTAATACTTAAAACAAGCCAAATTAGGGTGCCCTCGTTCAAATACTTTTTAGCCTGTATTAAAAAGCAATTAAGTATCCAAATTAAACCGACCTAGGACATAGCCTGAGGGATTGATTTAACGAAAAAATGCATTTTGCAAAAAAGTTTCTTTTTTTTTATTTCTTCTCCTTCTTTTCCTAGTATAATACTCAGCTGACAACATGTATATGATGTTTAAGTTAAGTGTATAAATTATAATTTAATAAATCGAATATTTTTTGGGGCTATCGGTAGTATAAATCAGACTCTTCACTTATCGCTAAATAATTTTTTAATCGCTTATTGAACAGAGTTTAAACGCGGAATCAGAAACCAAAGCAACGAATCCCTTTTTAAAATTTTCAAGAACCCGAAAAGCGCTTTTTGAACAAAAAAATTCAAGAACTCTTTTGTTTTAATCAAGGGCTTCAAAACTGACAAAATTTTCAGCAAAAAGATAAAATAAACTGATCAACAAAATGATATTTCACCGCCATTTTAAAATGGCATTTTCCTAAGATTGCATGATCAAAAATCGTTTTACAAGAAGAATAACAGAATAAATAATGTCAAACGAAAATTTCTTGTTATTCCGAACATGTCCTTGAAAATTAAAAATTTATGCTAATTTTAACAGTATGTAGTTCGTGTAGCGGATGAAAAAACAAAATATCATGTCGTGTTAGGAATATCACAAAAAAACGGAAAAAAAATTCATAATTTATACCTTCTTTCTTCAGAAAACTGTGTAATTTTCTTTTTATAGTTATCTGTTATTTTTTAAAAAAATGGTGGGGAGGAGGGAGTTAAATGGCGTCGTTGTTATGGAGTTACGTTATATCAATTCATTTAGTGTTGTTAAACGGCTCGTTTTGAGCCCATTTTTCAAAGTGGCTAACTCAATATTTTAGCCAGAAAAATATTGTCTAAATCTTGAAATTTCGATAATATATGTCTAAACCTTTGTTCCTTCTATAAGCAAAATCTTCAGGCTTGCGTAATATTTTTCTGGATGAAATATTGAGTTAGCCGTTTTTAAAAATCGGCTCAAAACGAGCCGTTTAACAACACTAAATTCATTCATTTACATAATCGATAAATCGAAATCGAGTTATAAGACGAAATTTTAAAAGAGATTAATCGAAATGTAAGAATCACGTGACCATGTGAAACTTTATTTGATAATCTTTATATTATGACTCGGGGGGGGGGGGCAAAATGGTAAAAATATACATCTTTTTCAGAAAATAGGGGTTTTTTTTATTTAGAAAGGTCTTGGGTGGGTAAATTTTTCCCGTTTTCTTGTTCGGGTTTTTAAAATTTAACTATTTTATAACCGATCCCGAGTTATATATATTTTCTAGCCCGTCCCTCCTATTTTAGATTCGGTTGTTTTTCGGGCTGGTCGAGTTTCAAAAAAACTAGTTAGCCATGGGAAAATAATCCGTAGTTAAAGCTTTTCTTCTTAATTAAAAAAAAAACCTTCATAACGTTGAAGAGGCTCTCCTGGCCGGCGCTCCCGGGTTCCTTGAAGAAGCTGTGCTCAGGGTAAGTGCGAGTAATATCCCGTCGAATGAGTTTCTCGTAGAGCGAGTGTTTCTTGAGCAATTCCGAGTAAATGGGCGTCAGAGAGGTGGGGCTAAGGAAGGTAGGCGGGACTGAACCACTCAACAGTTGCCAGGCCATAGCCCGGAAAGGTTGGGGTATCCCTCTGAGTACTAGTTCCTTTTAAAAGATTTATCATTATTATTACTATCAATACCGTCAATTATCGGTATTGAAAAGATATAGAAAGCTGGGAAATTATGGTAAGTTAGAAATACCGAAATATCTTAGAATAGCGCAAACGCAAAAATATTTAAGATGTGTGCATATCGTTTAAGCACAGAATATAGGGGGGGGGGCATTTCAAATTAATTTCTAATATGGATGTAAGAGAGTAAATAATAATTTAATATTAAACAAAAATGAGAGTCAATTTTAATTTAGGATTTTAGCCAGATAATATTACACAAGTCTCGATGTTTCGTTGGTAGATTTACAAATTTTTCTGTTATTTATGAGAAAAATCTCCAGGCGTGGGCTAAAATATTGGGTCAGCCGTTTTCAACACTAAAATGAAGATCGACCGTGAACTGGTTTAATTTGAACACTTAAATCTAAATTCGATTTATTAATTTGGAGGACTAAAATGAGAGGTAGGGTCAAGGAGAAAAGAATATAGGTTGTAAGTGATCGTTTACTTTAATGCGAGAGGCGTTTTTGGGGCTCCGCGTTTCCCAATCCATTAAAAGATCGCTCCAGGCGGCCCAAGTCGCCTCGGGTTCGGGTGGTTCATTATGATCTGGGCATACGTCTAGCGGAGTGGTTTTAGCAGTTGATAATGGAAAGGAAGAGAAAATAAACGCTAAACGGGAGCTAGAAGTGTTAGCGTGTAGAACTGGATTGGCGGGATTCTTAAGGGTATTACATGACGAATTCGGTGCTGATTGAGTGGTGGCACTTTGAAAAGTAGGCATCTGATGAGCAAGCCCAGAGTGGAGACTGCATTGAGAGGAAGTGGACGATTGACTGCTGGGCCCGTTTCCACCCCCCAGAAGTGAACGGGAATCGTTCTCTAAGACCCTGGGAAAGTAAAATATTATATAAATGTGGGGAAAATTGGGGGGGGGAGGCAAAAATAGGGAACTAATAAGATGTTCAAAACGTTTTCAAGCTGATCCCTATATTCAGGAATAACCAAATTTTTCCTATGGTTAACAAGAAATTTAAAGCGAATCAAATACTATAAGAAGCATAATTGAGACGAGACCAATGAAAACTAAGATTAATGACATGAAGAGAAACAATGCCTAAGAAAATACCGAAATTGAATAACGTGACATGAGTGGAGTGAGTTAGTATAACACTAGATTAACAATTAGGGTTGTGCCGATATCAAATAACGGATTGGCACCGAGCGTTTTTGAAAAATATCGGATCAGGCCGATATTTAAAAAAACGATCCGATATTTTTTATTGTTTTTGGTAATTTAATGATTGTATATATAATTATATTTTTTTATTATAAATAATTTGATGTTTTTTTAGTATATGATTTTATTTGGTATTAGTGATGTTTTCACCTGTTTGCGTTGTTTGAGTCTTGCATTTCTATCAGAATTTTGATTTAATAGTTCTTTGAGAATGTGTTTTTGAGAGTTGATTATAATTATTTTTTTATTTGATAGTAGAATTATATATAATTTTGATATTATAAATGCTTGATTAAGGTTAATTGAATTGGTCCTTGATATTATAAATGCTCGGTTGGTATGTTGTACAGAAATATCTATTTGGTTTGTTGATTTTGGTAGTATAAATTGATTGGTATGTTGCACAGGAATTTGATTTGTCGATTTTTGTAGTATGAGTTGATTGGGTTTATTAAAATATTTTTTGATATAATTCCCACGACAAAACAATCTTAAATTTTTATAAACCCAGGTCCAAAATTTAGATTGAATAAAAATTAATCCCCAAAATTATCAAACCAAATTGTGCAACCCAATCAATTCATATATCAAAATCAACAAACCAAATTCCTGTGCAACATACCAATCAATTCATACTAACAAAATCAACAAACCAAATAGATATTCTTGCACAACATACCAATCAACAAAACTTATATGGCCAGGCATTTTTAGTATAAGAATCAATTCAAATAACCTTAATCAAGCATATATATTAATAAAATCATATATAAATCTACTACCAAGATCAAAAAATTATTATAATCAACTCTCAAAAACACACACCCGAAGAACTATTACCTAAATCATCTCTTAAAATTCTGATAGAACTAAATCATTTTATCACTAAAAACATATGCAAGACTCAAACAAAGCAAACATCCATGACCAATACCAAATAAAATCATATACCAAAAAAAACATATCCAGAAAACCTTTCTAATTTATCATAATAACTTATTCTCAATTAATGGAAACTGTTTTAAAATCAATCAACCCGCAGATTGACTGAGGAACTAAGAGCCCTTTTAATATCAACTAGATTTGCCAATTTTTTTTATACATCAGAGGTTACCGTATATATTATATATTTTTTAATTTTGTTTTCAAAAACTTATTTAGTCACATATTATCATGTGAACAATAAATTTATTGTTCTATACTTCAAGAGTATTGAAACATTTTAAACAATCTCACATTTATATCTCATATTCTTCTTTTTGTCAAAACCAACCTTTCTTTTAAAGAATATAATATTAAATTACTAAATTTTTCTTATATATCTTTAAATCTTTCCAAAAATAAAATATATTTTTAGATATACTTTTAAATTTATCAGAGACCTGCAGAGGTATCATTTGCACGGCTAGGTCCGGATTTTTTAAAATATATTATATTTCTTTATAATTTTTATAGTTAATCATGGTGATTTAAAAAATTCCGCCCGTCCCGGGTTTATTTATAAAAAGTTTACTCGGGCCGTGTTTATAGCCGGGTCTGCAGATCTCTGAAAATTATCCAACAATAAATTTTTATTTATTCATATTCCACAATTATTAATCTTTTCTCCCAACCACTATATTTCATAAAGTAAAAAATCAACCTCTATCACACACCAGCTAACACCAACAATCTTTATGCCCATTTTTCATTTTTTATGAAAAAAATTTTGTCTATTACAATCATATAATTCTTTGTAAATTATTTCTCTTTATTCTGCATCAATCAATGAATTAAAAACGAGATTAAATGATGTCAGCTGTTTACAATTTTTTATTCCGGAAATTTTTTGTTTCCTTCAATCCTTTGCCAATTATTATCAAGCGTAATCAATATGACCAACAGCTAACCTTAAGCTAGGTCCGCTTCAAATTTCATCATAGACATAATGATTGTCAGTCTAGTCTTATAGATGGTAATATTTCATGTTATTGCCTAAATACCAAGTGTTGTTAATTTATATCAATATGTGGGGCCGGCTTAAATCAAAATTTTAAACCCAATATAAGCGCCGGGCTCCTACCCAGTTCGAGCGGGGGTGAATCAGATCGAGCTAATCAGTGTATGTATCTAATATGATATTTATTTCATCGTATTTTATTTATTTTATAAATTGCCTAAGACCTAATTGGCATTAACCAACCAAATGGTTTATATCATTTATCTCCATATTAACAAATATTTTATTTTTTTTAAAAGAGCCTTGAAACAAAAATATTATCTGTAATTTTTTGGAGAAAAGATAAGACTTTATTATATGATTTTTTTGTGGAGTCAAAGTTTTAAGGCTTTTCTTGATTCCTTTGTGGAATATGATCTGAACGTGATTTTTTCGTCTTGGCCATCTAGCCGTTAAAAAATGAAAGAAATAAAAAATATTTTAATAAGTCCCCTACGAGGAAAGCTTTAGGTGAGGGTTATATACTTATCACTATAATGGCACTTAAAAGTGCCAGGATGCTAAAAGGCGAGAACGTTTATAATCACTAGTAGTTTAGTGAGCGTAAAAGTCGATTCGCATTTGCTGGCATTTAATAACTCCAGAATCTAGGTAGATTGAATAACATTTATAGGGGAATGGGGCGAAGATACAAAAAATGGATTTTTTTAGCGGAGAAATTGTGAAAACCTTATTGTAGTCAACTGATCAAAAAAATCCCTATGTCCCTTGTTTTTTATGTTTTAAGAATCAATTAAAATAAGAAATTCGATACCATACCAATCTTAAAATTAGTTGGATCAGTTGATAGTAAACTATTCTTCCGATTTGAATCGAAGCTAGATGACTTGATATTTAAGGGGTCAATAAATTTAATTTTTTTAAAAAAATAAATTCGAAATTTTTAAAATTTTAACATAATCCCTAAAAAAAATAAAGCATGTGTTTTTGAAAAATAAAACGATGAAAAAAATTAGAAAATGAAGTCGAAGGCTTAAAGGATAAAGTAATGAATAGATTTTTTTTGCCATCCTTTTATATAGAAGGCGTGTGAGCTGTAATGTTATTCAAACTCCTTATGGTAATTAAAGAAAAAGTTAATCCGTTTTAAACGAAAATAGCGCGCGTAAGAAAAGGCGAAAAAATTGTTGATTAAAAGGAGAAGAGTAATGATATATGAAGTCGGGCAACATATAGCAATTTACTAAACAACGCTCAAATTTTTGGAATATGCAATAACAATAATTTATAATAAATATATTATCCCTAACCCGAATGAATGCCTACCCACTTAAATTCTAACCGTAACCTATTGGTGGAAGTAAATTTCTGAAGAAAAGTCTCAATCAAGGCATCTATGTTATTTCAAAAACCTTTTTTGTTTGTCAACAAATTTGATAATGTATTCCTTCTGAAATCCCTCTCCCCTCTCACCTTTTTAACAAAAATTATTCCTTAAACCAGAGACCAGCAGAGGTAACCTTTGCCCGGCTTGGCCCGAATTTTTAAAAAGAAAAAATTTTGGACCCGGCCCGGGACTTATATTTTCAGGTTTACCCCGGCCCGGATTTTTTTAAATATATTTATTTTTAATTTTTGTAGGTAATAATGGCGATTTTAAATATTTTGTTTTGAAACATACTGCCCGGCCCGGGTATTTTTTTTAAAAAATTTAGGCCCGGCCTGGGTATATTTAAATAAAATGCGTCCGGCACGTGTACCTGGGCCGGGCAGGGCCTAGGTCCGGTCCTGCAGGTCTCTGCTTTCAACTTTTGTTTTATAGTTTTTATTTTTTCCTCTTCTTTCAATAAATATCTTATTAGAGGAGACCAGGGTAAAGTGATGAACGGGGTAACAATGTAAACGCGAATAACTTTTTAACCGTTAATCATAAAAACCTTAAATTTGGTATGAAGATGTATTTTTATATCTAACTTCTTACATATATTCAACTTATGAAAAACTATACTGGTAAAATTTTACCCAAAAATTATAAAAATTACCCTCTAGTTTATTTTGCTTATAGCAAATTATATTAAGGCCCATAATTTAAAATTTTGCATACATATTCCTTCATGTTATAACTATATTATAAAATTTATCGGAAGTTTATATCTTATCCAAAAGTCAAGCAATAACAAAATGTACAATATAAATCACCTCGGGGTAGAGTTATCATTGGTAAAGCGGTTAAAATGTTCCGTCAAAATAAAGCTGTAAAAAGATAATTTTTAAATCTTCCATCATATAAAAAAATATTTCTGAGCAAAAAGAAGCACTAATAGTTTGTATTTTAAACAAACTATGGGCCTAAAATAGGCACGCTCAAAATAAGAAATTTACATTCCCGAATGTAATGATAGGCTTAAACTTAAAAGTGATGAATGGATGTCAAAATTGCAATATTTTGTTCAATAAAACAATAGGTTATGTTCATTTTTATTTTAACCACTCAATCCTGATGCTTAGCCATTTTACCCTGGATATGGAGGAAAATGGCACTTCACATAAATAATCATAGCTCCTAAAGTATTATAGGTAGAGACTATTTTTTTTTATTTTGTAGATGAAGAATTTAGCTAAATATAAATTTATAATTTGTTCTGTTTATATTTCAAAATTTTATGGTAAAAATGCAAAATATTAATCGTTTTACCTCGGTCTCCCCTCAT